TCGGGTTCAAGGAACACATTTTCGGCGTCGGAATAAATATAGTTTAACGGACGTAATCCCCTTGGCCCAATCTCACTAGAAGGGCTTTCCATATGGGGTGAGGCTAAAGACAAAGGGGCTGAGACAGGAGTTTGTGGGGCTGATTCAGGCTTGTCAAATTCAACATATGGTTGTCCAACTTGGATAGCATCGATTCCAGGACTGTTTAGTTGTTTTGGGTTGATTTCAGGGCCATTTTGAGGTGTTTCGAGGTGTATTTGAGGTTGTGGTTCAATTATAGTAAAGGTATTAGGAGTCGCCATCTCTTCTTCTTTGTTTTTGTATCAATTCCATTCTTCTTTTTCGTCGAAAACAACATCGCGATTAACTCGCAACTTTCGGTCGTGCGGATCAAACAAACAGTTGCCATTAGTTCCATCTTCCACATCTAAGTACACCATCTTTTTACTTCGATCATTAAGCTTCTTCAATTGACCACCTACAAGTTTAGCATATGCAACACAACCAAAAACAACATCGCGATTAACTCGCAACTTTCGGTCGTGCGGATCAAACAAACAGTTGCCATTAGTTCCATCTTCCACATCTAAGTACACTATCTTTTTACTTCGATCATTAAGCTTCTTCAAGTGACCACCTACAAGTTTAGCATATGCAACACAACCAAAAACTCTTAGATGTTCAAGGTTGGGCTTTTTTGCGAAACCATGCTTCATACGACATCATGTCGGGAAGTGCTTTTGTTGGTAGGTGGTTGAAAAGATAAACTGCATGTGTAACCGCTTCTCCCCAAAACCCTCCCAGGACATTTCTTCCTTTGAGCAGACTTCTTGCCATGTTCATAATGGACCAATTTCGCCATTCTACAACTCCGTTCTGTTGAGGCGAATATGGTGTCGTAAGATGCCTATGAATACCATTTTCTTCGCAAAATAATGAGAATTCTTTTAAAGTGAACTCTCCCCCTTGATCCGTTCGAAGTGTCTTCATTTGATAACCCGAGTTCTTTTCAACCATCAACTTGAATCGTTTGAAAGCATTCAAGGCTTGAGACTTCTCCGATAGCATGTAAACCCACATCCACCGGCTAAAATCCTCTGCTAAAAGGAGAAAATATTTACTCCCTCCAACAGATGTAGTTGTGATCGGACCACATAAGTCCGCATGAACAAGTTGTAGAGGTTTTTGAGCCGGAAAAACTGCGTGATCCGGGAAAGAAATTCGGGTTTGTTTGGAAAGAATGCCACAACCAGAAAGTCTTCCAAGGGAAAGAAGAACGAGAACACTGTCGAAAATATTTGAAGACTTTGTTGTCAACATGTTGCCATCGATAAACCCCACAAGGACCCCACAAAATCATGACTCTTCTAAGGTACATCTGATAGCTAATTTTGTTTCTTATAAAAACTTTTCTAATAAACATAAAGCTTTTTTGACAACGATCAGATTAAATGATGAGCCAAAATATTTCAAACTGGTTGTTCAAAGTGAGAAATGGAGGGAGGCAATGCAAAACGAAATAAAGGCATTGGAAGAAAACAAGACATGGATTCTTCAAGAATTACCAAAAGAAAAGCATGCCATTGACTCAAAATGGGGGCACAAGATAAAGTACAAACATGATGGCGAAGTTGAGAGATATAAGGCGCGACTGATAGCTAAAGGCTTCATTCAAGTCAAGGGAATCGATTTCCATGATACATTTGCTCCTGTTGCTAAATTGGTTACTGTAAGACTTCTTACTGTAGCTGCTAAGAAAGATTGGATCATACATCAAATTGATGCAAACAATGCATTTCTACATGGGGATCTTGAAGAAGAGGTTTATATGAAGGTGGCAGAAGGGTTTGCGAGAGGGAGAAACAATGGTATGCAGGTTGAAGAAGTATATTTATGTCTTATAGCATGCCTTGCGCCATTGGTACCAAAAGTTTACTATGGCTTTATTTTCTTTGGGCTATGAACAAACACATGTTGATGCTTCGTTGTTGATACATGAAATGGTAATATTTATGTTGCTACTCTTATATATGTTGATGATGTTATCATCACGGGGAATAGTGCAACAAAAATCCAAGAGACAAAAGACTATCTTAACGACAACTTTAGATCAAGGACTTGGAGTTATTGAAGTACTTTCCTGGCATTGAAGTGGCCAAAACACCTAAAGGTTTTGTCTTGAGTCAAATAAAATATACTCTTGACATATTAAAAGATTGTGGTATGATAACCAAGTCCTTTTCCGATGCAACAAAATCTTCAACTAGACAAATGTGGAGATTCCTCGGATTGAAGTCGACTTATATTTACAAGAAACTAGGCCTAGACAAAAACACATGGAAATTGCCTCACGTGTACTTCGTTATCTCAAAGGGACACCAGGTCAAGGTATTTTAATTCCTAGAACTGGATGCACTGAATTAGTTGTCTACTGTGTGACTTAGATTGGTTAGGATGTGCTTTTACACGAAGGTCTCGAACGGGTTATCTACTCCTTTTGGGTGGGTCTCCAATCTCTTGGAAAACAAAGAAGCAAACGGTGGTATCTTGTTCTTCTGCAAAAATTTGTGTTTTTTAGTCTTTAGTTGTAGGATACTTCTATTTATCTTTTACTTCAATTTTTATAGTTGGTCAAAACATAGTCATTTATATTTGTTTATATTTGTTGTTGTACATGTAGATTTGGAACATCACACAAAATACATAGAAATAAATTTATATATTTTGTATTTGAGGTAGAAGTAGTAATCACACAAAATAGTATGATACATACTATAAATACAGAGGAAACTTGGCATTCTGAAATCATTGACTAGTAAATAACAATTGTTACTCACAAATCATCATTGACTAGTAAATAACAATTGTTACTCACAAATCATCAGTGCCAAATTTGGAGCGGGGAAAATAGAGATACATTATAATTAAAGACTTAATTTTGTGTAACAAGCTACTAACGGTATACATAAAGTCGTCATTTTAAGTTATATTTAAGTGAGATTGTCACTCTAGCATGTTTGATACATGATGTGAATCATCATGATAAATTTTTGTTTCTCACCATTAGGTGTTTAACAGCCGATGCATGATATTAATGGCCGTAGTTGATGGGTGTTTGGGTTGTCGTCAGCTATGACAGTTGTATATAGTGAAAATGACGGTTGTGACTGTCGAAGCTCTTACTGCTAATGTGTCATATAAAGTTTTCCAACAGCTGTTAGTTTGTTTTTTAGCGTTAACTCGGTTACAAAACTCATTTTTTATTTCATAATTAAACTAGTGACAGTAATAAAGGAGAAACTTCTACAAAAGCAAAACAGAGTGCATGTTTAGTACCAAGTTTGAGTGGTTCCAGGAATCTATGTAAAAGAGCAGTTAACACCATAAACTATGAGTCCAAACATAAGTTTATTTTACTTCACAAAATATAAGATGAGCCTAAAGGCTTGATTATTCCTTGTAATTTAGCATCTACAACTGACCATATGCTCATTGTCATTACATGAGGAACTTCTCCAAAGGACATAACTCCCTATTAGGTGTCAATCAAGAGTGGACAAAAAAAAAAAAAAATCGAAGCTAATCATTATCAGAAAGCTAAACGAGTTACTGAAGTTATACATCATTTAATGAAAGTCAAAGTTGCATGGACTCTATTTTCAACTTTTTGGAACAGCAGATGGAGTTCTATTTTTGCTCTGTTTTCAATCTAACTTTCAAACACAAGCTTCATAGGATGTCTCTTGATGAAAACACGTTCTCTTTCTCTTTGGGTTCAATCAAAAGTCTATAAAACAAGTAAATATCACAAAATTAACCTTATAATAATTTCAATAGAGTTTGGATTTAGACATTAGGCAATCAGTTTGGAACTGAGACAGATGTATAGCTTTACATAGTTTTTATGTAAAAGCAAAACAAGATCGCAACATCAAGGCTATGCAGAAATTGAGCCTAGTTTAAATGAATGAAAAGATGCGACAGGTAAAAAGCATTGAAGCTTCACAGCTTCAATCATTAGGAGTTCTGCACTTAACTTCCATAAATGATAGTTGGACAGTAAGTCATTCACCTATACATCAAGATTCCATTTTAAACATATTTAGAACAAGAAAAACTTAAGTAAAAAATTTGGAAATAATTAGCCACATAAGTGCTTGTTTCAGACAACATAGGTTTTTGCGAGTTTGATAGGAACAAACCTTGTAAACCAGAAGCTGCACCATATAAATGTGTTTCTTTGTAAACCATCATCATTTGATATTTTATTTCCTCAGATGCTTTCATTTAAAAATTCATTGCATCCACCGATCTTTCATGTTGTATTGCTTGGCTGTAAGTGTGGAAAACTGAGAAATATACATTTGAACTGAATACTAAGATATGATTAAATTAAAATATTTCTAAAAATTAAAATTTTCAAATATGTACAAAATCTTAAAAAGATAAATAAGATTTATGGTCTTAATGGTTTCACAAATATATGGAATATATTTAGAGGCATCAAAATGGACATATTTAATGGAAAATACATTAGCGTTAATCTTGGATCAAACGCATCATTGATGGACAACATATTAATTGGCATTCTCAAATGTGTACAAAACCTGGTTGGTATTGGGTGATAGTGATACATCATCAAAACGATTCATGATTTGAACGTATTCATAATCTGAATTTCAAATTGTTTGCTTGTACGTTATAATTTCAAAGTATTTAACTTGTTAACCATTTTGATTCATTTTGGTTTCCATCATGACCTTTCCATGTTACAATCCTAATTACATTCATCAACAAAATGAAATGGTAAAATCTGAAATCAGTAAGCATGTCCATGTTACAAACCAAATATTGAGACACAAATGAACTTTTGAAAATACATACTTGTAAGGTTGTACCAATATAATATATTGAGAAATATTGTTTGAAGGAGATGAATTAGTTATTTAATATATGCATTAGTAATAAAAGGTTTCTGAGGAGCGGGGCTTGCCTTAATATTAATTATGAAAATATCCATCTATCTTGAAGCAGGGGATAAGGGAGACGTGAGGCCAATAAGAGCCTCCTCTACCGAACCTTTCTTTCAGATTTGGGCATTCGTGTATTATCAAAACCAGAAGTGAAGGCAATAAGTTTTCTGGTAGATCTATGGTCTTTGGGCACTTCTGGATGATGAGACGTTGGAGGGAGGTAAGGTGTTGGAGTCCCGTTGAAATCGATTCCAGCTTCTCAAATCCATCCATGCCAAAAATAGTAAGAGATGAAGGAAGAAGATGTGACAACTGATCAAACTTTTTCACACCATCATACGGTCCGGCATGTAATTTTAGGTTAGAAAGTGATGTTGGAAAATTCTGGGGGCCCCACTCTGAGATAGGCTTCTTCAACCCTCCTATTTCAAGCCGACACAATTTGGGAGGCCAAAGCCCACGAGGGAAGGCAGCATCCATACTTGAACACTTTTGAATTGTCAGATGTGTTAACCAGGTGAGATTTGGCAACTCATGGTCAGGAAATGACTCCATACTTGGACACTCTATTATTGTCAACCTGACGAGGTTAATGAAGTAACCCAACGTAGTGATCAATTTCAGATTTGACCATTTATGTAAATTGATTTCAGATTCAACCAACTCCTTTTCCAAAAGTTTCTTGCAATCAGTGATGGTAAGTGACTTGAGCTTCTGCCCTCCTCCTGTTGGGAAGGAGACGGATGTAACTGAATCACAACTTTCAATATCCAAATCCTCCATGCTATCTGGACAACTGCAATGCTCCAAGCTATTACAATCCGATACTTTCAAGATCCTAAAGGCTGTTAGGCTGTTCCCACTAATAATATTATCCTCTTCTTTCTCCCCTAAACGCATCAAATTTTCACATTCACATAAATCCAACTTCTTTAAATTTATAAGAACCTTACTTGCCTCTGCTTCTGATTCCCACAAGTATCTTATTTCATTACATTCCCTGATGTTTATTTCTTCAAGTGCCCCAAGACACCCTATCATACCTCTCCACAGCTCATCAGTAAGCCCTGAAATATTATCTATTTCCAACTTGGTGATTGATGAAGCTGCATCAACCAGGCTTTTCAATACACCATGACTACATTTTCTTAGTTTCAGAACCCTTAGTGAAGGCAGTGCTTCAAGTGAGACTTGAACTAGATTAGGACAATCTTCAATATGAAGCTCTTGAAGGCAAGGAAACGCCCCACTATTTGTTGACCATTCCTCCCACCCTGACATACTATCAAACCGTAGGATTTCAAGTGAAGGAAACGCAAGGCCGGTCCCAAGTAACTCCAAACCTACAACCTTCATCTTGCCCATCCTACCAATAAATAAATCCATCAGTGATGGTAGTTGCCCAAGCATTGGTAGAGAGGTAGATTCTTCACAGCCATCTATTGACACTATAGTCAACCGAAGAAAGGAGGGATCCCCAACCCAATTTGGAAACTCAATACCTCTATATGACACAATGCTGAGCTTTTCTAGAGTACCATTATGAGGCCTCAACTCATTGAGGACCTCTTTTTCAAGTGTTCCCGTTCGGAAAACATTAAGCTCAGAACCCCAATTCAACTCTAACTCAGTAAACCTCTTTTGCGATAAGTTCGCCTCACGTGCATCTATTGCATTCTGCACATTGCCCAGCTCCGGAATACAAACTTTCCCATGGAGATTTTGCAAGTTCTTAAGCTTCGTTATTGCTATGCCAATGTCACTGAAAAGAGTTTGTAGACTTTTCAACTCACCAATCCCTAAGGGCATCTTCTTCAACCTCCAAGTATTCCTCATGTCAAAATGCTGCAAATTTTTAAGCCTTGAGAAGCTCTTGGGCAACTCAGTTAACATTTTACAGCCAGAAACAATCAGCGTCTGTAAATTATAAAGATTACAGACATTTTCCGGTAAATTTGCGATTCTAGTTCGAGATAGATTAAGATACCTCAAGTGCTTCATACTACTGACGACTTCAGGTACCTCGCTTATGCTAAGACCACTCAAACTTAGGACCCTTAACAATGGTAACTCCTGAAGTAAGTCACTCAGGACCTTATTTGATAAGTAAAAATTTTCCCAATCTTTTAGCAACCCAACAGACAATGCTAAAAATGTTCTCAAATTTTTAGCTCCTCTGTATGGGTCAAGCCTTGTGTACACCATGTAATCCTCACAAACAAGTGACATATGTCGGTGTTTTTGCAAAACTTCCTTCCTAAATTCCCCCTTCATCTCAATATCTAACCTTGAAAAAAAATCTCCAGCAACAAATGTGGCCATGTCATTCAGGAGGTCATGCATCACAAACAATGATTTGTCATTAGGAGCATGTTGAAAAAACGACCTTGACAGCAACTCTTCAAAACATTTGTGACCCCACTGTTGCATTGACTTTCTTACATCAGAGTGGTGCAAAAACCCTTCTGCCATCCACAACAGAACCAACTCCTCTTTGTCAAACTCATAGTCCTTGGGGAACAAGGAGCAGTATGCAAACAACAACTTCAAAGTTGCAGAAAGATCATTGTAGCTAAGTCTAAGAACAGGAACAATCTTATCTCCATTTCCTAAATCCCATATCTCACTATCCAACAGATATTTCCATTCTTCCTCATCTGTTTTTGTCCTCAATAACCTCCCAAGGATTCTTAAAGCCAAAGGCAATCCCCCACATTTTTTCACAAACTGTTCCCCATGTGGCCTTAATGTTGGATGTGAATCAAAGTTATCCACACCCAATGCATGTTGAGCAAACAAAGACAAAGAATCGTCTTGTGATAGACGCTGTAGAGGGTCTAGACTGTGCAAAGGGTCTTGATGAGAAAAACCCAACTGTTTGAGCAATTGCTCCTTCCGAGTTGTCATGATAATTCTACTTCCAGAAGCCCCCACAAGAAATGGGACCACCAATTTTTCCCAATCACCATAGCTTTCAGACCATACATCGTCTAAAACTATTAAAAATAGTTTGTTCTGAAGTTTCTCTCTAAGAGCTTCTTGAAGCAGATTTAAACCTGCAAATTCCTTGTTTTCACCGGTCACTGATTGATAAATAACCCTACTTATATTGAGGATACTGAACTCATCAGAAACACAAACCCATGCCCTGAGTTCGAAGTGATCCTTCACTTTCTTTTCATCATACAAAAGTCTAGCTAGAGTTGTTTTACCAACCCCACCCATACCAACTATGGGCACGATGTTGAAGTTTTGACTACTTGATTCCTCTTTATCCCCCAACAGCTTCTGAAGCAATTTTTTCTTATCATCTTCACGTCCAATGATACCACTTGCATCTACCAAAGACGCCTCATCTCTTTCAATTTTGGGTTTTTCATATGTTATCACACTTAAACCAAGATTATTTTTTGCCTCAACCAGTTCTTGGAACTTAGCTGCAATATCATCTAACCTGGCATGCATCCTATTACTTAGTGAGAAACTTGTGCAACAACTTGGGATTAGCTTTCTTACCATGGTGGAGGCTCCACCCTCCTCAGTCAACTCACGATGAATAGCTTCTGTTGCTATATCATCAAGTACGTCATCAGTGTCGTAAGCCAATTGTTGGAGATCAATCAGCCATCTTTTAACAGCTTCATCAGTTACTTCCTTCTGAGAAGCATCATTAAGCAGATCTTTGATCTGGTCTAATGTCTTCTTCAATTTCTTAAGCTCTGAATCAATTCCCTTGGAGCGAGCGATTTTCTTCAAGGCTTCAGAGGTCAGCTTTTCAAAGACTACTGTAAACAAGGCAGAAAGAACGATTTCAGCCATTGTTTATTGTTTATGGCAAGAGCAGAGAATATAGTATAGATGTAGATGAAATGGATGCAAAGAGAAAATTATTTCAACTATCAGGAGATGTTGACGAACTGGATTAACAATGAGACCGATTTCAATTATTGTTTACAGTAAAGATTTGTGGATTAAATTAATGCCCACCACAAATTTGTGGGCCCAAAAGTTGCAAGTTGCTATTAAGGAGTTTCAACGAAAAGATAAAGAGATTAAAAATTGTTTACCAAAACATTGCAATGTGAAACTTCTTTGTCGATGTAAAAATTCCATGAACCCATAATTCTTTCCATCAAAGAAAAAGGATGAACAACTGAACCCACTCCTCAGTCATCCCATGAGGACAAAAATCATATATTCTTGATGGCCTTCTTCTCTTTCTACATCCGCCGTTTCTCCAATGTTACCAACTCCGACGATTCTAATTCCGGCAGCCATCAATTCATCCTACATTTCGACAGACATTGCGGACCAGAATCCTCCACCGTCTAGTCAAAGAATTAAAGCCGATGACGATTTCGCGGCGGAGACGGAAATCTCTGAACTGGCCCATGATTCGTCATTGGTCAAAAATTTGATGAGTATTGGCGGTGGGAACACTTGTTTTACGTTTTTGTTTAGACTTTAGATAAAGTTGAAAAAAAGATATGAGGTCCCCCGTCAATTTTTTAAATAAACTTAAAATTTTATATTTATTTAACAAGCATTTTTAAGTTACAACCTTCTTATTAAAACCTGCGTAACTACTTTTGGGTAAAGGGTAATTATACGTATAAATTTTTTTAAGAATACTTATCTATAGTCCCAGTTTGGAGCTGCCAGCTTAATTAGTTGGTTTTGTGGTTTGGCTTCTGATGGCTGACTGGTATGTTAGATCAACCAACAAGTAACGACATTCTAATGCTGCCTACATCTTTAGATCTCCTCTCATACTGGAGTTATGTACTCATTACCAGCCACCAAGCACTCCAAATCTGTAATATTCTTTTTTGAAATCGCCCCCTCATTGGTTTTCCTTCGTTCTCGGTCACCGATGATGCTGCCCTCTGTCCATGCCCCTTCGTTCCCCAAAATAGGCAAGCAAGTAGGGTAAGCTTGCTTGGCCTTTCAATTGAAGTAAAAGCAAAGATGTCAAGGTTTACGGTAATTGTTTAAATACATGAAAACGCTCAACATTAGCTAGTCGGTGGACTGGGGTCAAGGGATTAATTGGCTAGGCAGAGATTAATCGGGTATCATTAATTGCTAATTTGTTGAATTTTAAAAAATTAAATATGACTAATATAATATCAAAGTCCGTAAAAATCACTAATATGATAACATAATAGGTTAATATGATTAATACAACACTAATAATGCCTCAAAATAGTTTCCATTGAGATAAAACTTCTTCAAAATGTTAAAATTTCTTCGTTTTCTAATGTTTCATTCATTATGTATGCAAGGATTAATCGCTAGACACTCTCTAATTGGTCGAGTAGCGCCTTGGAATTAATCGGAGATTAATCGTGACCTAGTCGGGATTTTTACAACAGTGGTTTTAAGTATTCATTATTTATTGTTTTTGTTGTTCAAAGATTTTAACTTTTGATTGCTTATTTATTTATTGTTTTATTTTTTTTTTTTGGTTTTAACATGATTATTGTTGATTGCTTGGTATAATCTATCAAAAGTTCATCCCCTTTTAGTAGTCTGTTTATTGGAATTTGGAAAAAATTTATTTGTTTTAAACTATTATTACGGTTTATTATTATTTTTTTTTTTTTGCTTTTCAGATCAACAGTTAAGTGGGTTCTAAATGTTTCAGTTTACTAGCATAAAGAAATTAGAAAGCTTATATCATATTTCATTTTGAATGCTTATGTATTGTTTAATTGTTTTTGTGCTGTGGACCGGTTTAAATGCAAGAGGTAAACACAAACAGACCAAATGGAAAGTTTAATCTTTAATTAAATGTGAAAGGGACTCCAAGTTCTATGTTCTAGTTATTAGAGATGCTAGACTCTTTAGGGAATTTCCATACTAACAAATTGATTACTAACCTTCTCCCACTCCCAAATTGCAACTTCCTAGAACAGATCCAAACAACTAAATACCAAAAGTACCCTTTCTAGCATGGTGTTGTTAGTAAGAACAATTATAATGAATATATTGAAAAACATGCTGAAAATGATGTTAATGATCTCACTTCTAATGAAGTTATATTTAAGAAGTATGAATGATTTGTTGTTTTATAAAATTATAACATACATTTATTCCTTATAGTTTGACAGTATAAAAAGAGAGCACATTATTATGTCATTTCACCCAGGGCACAAAAAAAACCTTAGGACCGCCCCTGCTGGTATCGGCTGTTATCCAGCCTATGAAAGTTTTTTTCATCGTCATTGGCTTCAATATACATTTTTTCTCCTCCGAAATTCTACCGATACATATTCTGCAGAGATGATGCTTCAACGTTTGATTGGAGCTGCACAAAACACCTTCCTACTTCTTTCTCGACAAAACTATAAAATTGGTCCCTGTGGTTTGCGAAAAACTGTGGATAGGGTCCAAAAGGTTTTCAACTTGTATGAAAGGTCCAAAATCAAGAAATTCTTTTGATTTTGGTCCAAAAAAACTTGAAAAGACGATTATGCCCTTTTGTTTTCTTTTTTGTATTTTTTATAATTATTCTCATACTATTTTAAATTAAAAATAAATAGAAAATGAAATAATTATCCCCCACCTACCATCATTGCTCTCTCTCTCTCTCTCTCACACACACACACACAAACACACACACACACACACACCTAATTCATCTTCTACGACCATCCCTCCCAAAAATCATTCAACATTTTCTTTTGATTTTTACCATTTTTACGCCTACTACAAAATCATTCTACATCCTAAGGTTTGAATTATCCTCTTCTTCCTGTTCGATTGTTGGGACGACATCCTCCTCTACCAATTTTTCTATGGTTCTAAACATGGTGTTCTTGAGAAGAAGATATAGGTGAATGAAGAGATTATTACTAAAAAGTTGGATTTCATTTCCATTGCCACTGGTACAGAATACATCACGTTTTGTTGTTCTTGAATGATTCAAAAGACCCCTTTGTATTTTATAACCGAAGCTCGAGTTCTCTCGATTGTTTTTCAAGTATAGTCATCTTCTTAGTGATGCTTTCACGGCTTCCTTTCGGAAACCCTAATTCGTCAATAATTTAATGTTTGAATCGGTCAATTGAGCTACCTTCCCTTCGGTTGTTTTAGCCCTACCTTCTGTTGTGTAAAATTTATCTTTTAATGACTTTATAATGCTTTCTATTTCTCTTACATGTTTTTGAATCGATTCCTTTGTTGAATTCGCATTATTCAGGTTAGATTTTGATTCGTTGAAGATTCAGATTTTTCTCTCAAACTTAAAATTTCAAGATTATCTGCAACAAGTTGGGTGATTTTTCTATTGAGTTTCTCGATTAAAGCGTCTTCTATGTTCAATAATTTGATACAGTTTTCAAGTTTTAACTTAAATCCATCTTCTTAGTGGTTGAACCTATTGAGATTAAATTGAATGAGTTGATGTTGAGCACAACAGAAGCATTCTCCGCTTCCAAAATCGACCCCAAACGACTTCTACTGCTTTTTTCCATGATAAACACGACTTGTTCTGTCAATCGTAATTTTAGTTTCACATCTTCTTCGTTTTGTTTTGATTATGTTAATTCCTTCTCAAGATCAAACGGTGTGTATCTAGTTTAAATTGCACACACACACACACACAGAGAGGTGAAGGGTGGGTGGGGGATAATTTATTCATTTTCTTTTTATTTTTAATATAAAACAGTATTAGAATAAATATAAAAAATACAAAAAGGAAAATAAAATGGCATAATCGTCTTTTCAATTTTTTTGGACCAAAATCAAAGGAATTTCTTGATTTTAGACCTTTCATGCAAGTTGAAAACTTTTTGGATCCTATCCACAGTTTTTCGCAAACCACACACCAATTTTATAGTTTTGTCTTCTTTCTCTGTCTCATACAATTTGTTCCGAAAAGAATCGAGTGCACCTCCACCTCCACTTCAGCTTCCTCCACTTCATGTATCGCTAACTAGAATCGGTTTTTCAGGCAAAATCACCTGACAAGAAGTTTCATAGGCTTGGACTAAGAGACAGACTCAAGGTTTCTCCTCTTTCCCTAAAATTGCAAATAAGAATAAATTCGTCAAAACTGTTGTAGAATTGATCATAACCTGAGGCCTACTATCTGTCATTTCAAATTTATTTTTTGTTCATGTATTGTTAGGGTTTTTGACAATGATTTCGTTCTAATTTCTCGATTCTGTACTTCCAATTTCTTGGGTCGACTTTCTTCCGTGATTTTCTCCTTCTTTTGACTTGCTGCAAAAAGAAAGAAGGAGTAGAAACACACACACTCTGACTCTAGACTGATGAATGAGCCCTAATTAAAACCCAACACTTACAATCGGCTGAGAGAGGAGCGCAAAAGCAGCAAGCAATTCGAAGTTTGATTTTCTTTTAAATTGATGCTTTTCAAATCTATTAATATGGAGGTCGTTTGCGAAATTGATTTCTTTTCTTCACTTCTGCTTCTAGGTATTTCATTTTTTTTTGCACACTTCTACACTTCCGTCAAACTGAGTTTCTTTCTTCGCTTTTGCTAAGAGGATTATCGATGTTTCGTTTCTGCTTGATGATGATTGATGGTGGTGGATCTCCTTGAGTTCTTTTAGGAGAACAGTCAAGATTAATTTCACAAGAAATGAGAAGGTTATTGAGCCAAATGGTGTTGTTCAATTGGAGAAAGAATTTGATTCTATTTTTACCCTTATGCAATTAACTTACTTCCATACTTGGAACCAATCAAAGAGTAATCCTGTAGAACTCATGAGGTGTTTGAAACCAATCAAAGAGTACACTTCTACTTTTGGTCTGTGATGTAAGTTATTTTGTACTCTTGTCTTGCTTGTGGCATCCTTTTTACCTGAACTTACAATTTTCTATTATAACGATGTTCTTTGAGTCAAGTATGCATGGATAGAGAAATCAGAACTGGCGAAATTGTTGCTCTGAAGAGGATATGAATGGACAACAAGAGGGAGGGTGCAAGACACCTTTTTCTGCAAAAAAAAAAAAAAAAAACCTTATTTCCTATACATATTGTTAACTAACTACTTACATAATTTATCTTAAACCTAAATCTACTATCTAAATAAAGCTTCCAATAAGTGTCGTTCGTAAGATCAAAATCTTAAAGAAGTTGT